CACACCCCCCACAGTGAGAGGCCGAGAGGCATTCTTAACATTCTTTCCAGAGAAAAGGGGTGAAACGTCTGAATTTGGGGGTCACCACGTTATACAAATTGCAATCTAATCGTTTTTACAAGAACACACTTGCAGTAAGAAAAGGAGCCCGGGAGGAGGGGCCCAGGAGACAGACAGCTTGTTTTGTCCCCCTTCCCCCCAAAGTTTGGGGCTATTGTGGTGTTCATCTTGCTTCCTCCACCAGAGCGGTTGAGCTAGAGTTTTCTAGTTAAATTGGTCCTGTGGTGGGGGCCACGAAGGGCCCATGGTGCCATTTCTGTTTGTTTTCCCAAATCAAAGCCCCAGCAGGGCTTCTATGGCACCGCTGAGCTGCTATTTGAAGAGACAGGGCCATTTCCCAGAGCCTGGTGTGTCAGTTTATGCTCTGAACTTAACCTCACGGGTACTGCACAACAGAGCCTGGAGGGTCCCAGGCCCAGAGGCAAAAGAAACCGTATCTTTTTATTGGCCCATTTAAAGTGTGTGTGGCCATTTCAGGGAGTCAGAGAACTAGTGTAGCAGAGACTCCTCAGGGAGGCCGGCAGACAGGGGCTTTCGGGCCTTGTCCTGGTCTCCGGGGGCTGGTGCTCGCTCAGCCTTCGGGTCTCCACTCCAGTATTCTTGCCTAGAGAATCCTGTGGACAGAGGAGCCCGGTGGGCTGCTATCCATGGGGCAGAGTTGGACGTGACTGAAGTGACTTAGCATGCACGCATGGATTGGAGAAGGAACTGGCAACCCACTCCAGTACTCTTGCCTGGAGAATCCCAGGGATGGAGGAGCTTGGTGGGCTGCCGTCTATGGGGTCACACAGAGTTGGACACGACTGAAGCAACTTAGCAGCAGCAGCAGCAGAGGGTAGGGTTATGTGTTTCTTATTGCACAGGCTGGCAAGACACTTTCCAGTGGTGGCTGAGATGCCACCCTGCCTGGGCAGGGCCCAGGTTGGCAACTTGGCATGGGTGTGGTCATTCTGCTGCCGACCTCCTGTCCACAGGTGCCTGGCTCTCCTTCATTCCGAACCCTGGGACCAGGGGTGGGCAGGTAGAGCCATGCTGGGCTTCACGCCCCCCAATCTCCACTGCCTTTCATCTTCTGTTTCAAACAGACAAACATGAAATTACTTCTATAGATTAAAGGGGAGAGCTCCTCAGTCATTCCTGAAGGCCTCACTAATGGAGGGGGCAGGGCCCCCAAATCTGGGAGGGAGAACTGTGGAGCAAAACAGCCCAGACCCAGTGGACAACAAGAGACAGAAAGAATATGACCCCAACCCCTCTGACCTGCCCAGGAGTGGAATCATGGCTGGTGGGCCTGCTTGGGCACTGAGGTCAGTGATCTCTATGAGATGCTGACATGGGAAGAAGACTTTCTATCTGAGCCCTCAGCACACAGAAAGGAAGAGCACTTCCCTGGGAAGGAGGCTGGGGGCAGAAGTGCCAACTTAGGGCCTACCCCCACCCTGCCCTGACTGGACAGCAATAGTGCTGCTTGCTGGGGGTCCCCTCACCACCCAGTGCTCACAGGGAAAGGCAGAGTTGGGCAGAAAAGAACCTGCGGCCGCCTCCTTTCCTCCTTCAGGGAAGGTAGCGGCTCCACTGAGGAGAAGGGAGGTTGAGGGTTTGGGTCTGTGAGGAGGAAGGACCAGAGTTAAGGCCCACATTCACGCACGTGGCTCGTGGCCGCTTTGGTGCAACCTAGTTGGCCAAGGCTGGGCTGGTGAGACCACAAAGTCTTCCCCACCCCATGCCAGGGCCTCTTACTTGGGTGTCCCTGTGTAGTGTCCATGGCCCATTTTTTCCTGTCACGCCATGCAGGAGAGCCCAGCATGTCCTGAGTGAAGCTGAGGGGTTGGGCCTGGAGCATGCCCCCTTCTTTATTCCCCTCATTCTGAAGAAACTCACCGCTTCTACCCATCCCATAGCCACAGGGATTAGCGGGTATACTTGATGTTGAGGGGTAGTTGCTAGGGCCAGGAGGCCCCCCTAGGTGGTTGCTAGGGGTCTGGCATCAGGGCGAGGGGTCTGCCCACTGCCGCGGTCACGGAGGGAATTACACAGTCACAAAGAAATTGTTCTTCTCGGTAATCTGCTCTCGGCCACCGGGAGGGGCGAGGGGGCAGGCTGGAGCCCAGCAGGCTGGGGGCTGTGATCACAGAGGCGTGCTAGCCCCAGGCCGGGGGCCAGCCGGGCCAGGAACACCAGGGACCAGCCTGCTAAGCTGCTTTCTCAGCGATTTCTCTCCCCAGACACAAAGGTGTTTGCTTGTTTTAACATCTCCTGGGACTCCCCTTCTCCCTCTGTGTGGTCTTTATCCCCAATGAGGTTTGAGCCCCAGATTACAGGCAGGAATTAAGGCATTGGACTCAGGCAGCTCAGAACTGCATGACCTGCAGGATCAAGGCGTATAAAGTAACCAAATGTGTGTGTGTGTGAGGGGGGCCGACCCCTTCGGCAAGGCCCATTCATCGTCCCGAGAGAGGAGTGGCTGGGTGGCGGGTAGCCAGCATGCAGGTGTGATGGAGAGGCTGGTGGCTGACTGAGGCCTCAGCTGGGGGGGAGGGGCAGGGGCTGGGAACAGGGGAGAGGGCTGGAAGTCCAGGGCATCTCCTCCTTTGGCCCCCTTCCTACGAGGGTCTTAATTCTGCCTCAGGAAGGAGCCCAGGGACTGATGCCACTTGAAGGTTAAAAGCATGTGTGTGGGCCAAGGCAGGACAACCTCTCATCCCCTGCCCCGCCTCTCTTCCCAGTGGGCAGCTGATGACGCACCTGGGCAGTGACTTTCCCCCAGGGGCTGGGGTGCTGGACGTCATGTACGAGTCCCCGTCCACGCTCCTGTCCTGTGGCTACGACACGTATGTTCGCTACTGGGACCTCCGAGCCAGTACCCGGTGAGTGTGCAGGGCAGGACAACAGGTGGTGGGAAGCCTGCCCCCATCCTGGCGCCCCAAGGAGAGGGACAGAGACCCCATAGCAGGGGCTGGGAGAGCAGCCGGCAAGGTCAGAGCAAGCTTAAGACTCTCCACCTCGGCAGCCCTGCTCCCGTGGCCCAGGAGACTGTAGCCACCAGGCCCCAATAAGAGCCTTGGGAGCCAGCAGGGTGCTGTCCTTCAGCGTTCTGTCCCAGCTTTCTTGAGGCCTTCCTTGCCTCTGAAATCTGGTGACACACAGCAGCCACGTGATGCATAAGCCTGCCTGGGGTCAGGGCCTTGGTGAGAAAGAGATCTTTACTGAGGAGGCTTTCCCCCATTAAGTGTGGTTTTAAAGGAATGTGGTGGTTTGGCATCTTTCTCCCAACCAGAATGGCTTCCTAAGGCCTCTGGGGAAGCTGGGGTGGAGGTGGAGGCCACCCCCAGACATCCCCTGCATCACCTCCTCCTGGACAGGAAGTGTGTCATGGAGTGGGAGGAGCCCCACGACAGCACCCTGTACTGCCTACAGACGGATGGGAACCACCTGCTGGCCACTGGCTCCTCCTACTATGGTGTTGTGCGACTGTGGGACCGCCGCCAAAGGGCCTGCCTCCATGTAAGTGTCCTGCCCACCGCAGGCAGGCCTCGTGGATGCCAGGGCTCGTTTCCAGGGTCCGTACTGGCAGTGGGCGTGCCTGGAGAGGGCGGGAGGAAGCCTAGAGTGGCCCCTGTCCCTTGGCACCAGGCCTGGGAATCCTGCATTCGGGCTCCTCCAGTTCCCAGTGGGGATACTTTTGCCACTTTTGTCCTTCCCCTGCAGGCCTTCCCACTGACGTCGACACCCCTCAGCAGTCCTGTGTACTGCCTGCGCTTCACAACCAGACACCTCTATGCTGCACTGTCCTACAACCTCCACGTCCTGGACTTTCAAAACCCATGACAAGGCCAACCTAGCCCGTGGGCCAGGGAAGCCAGCTACTCAGGGACTTCTCCTGCCTGGAGGGTTCAGTGATACCTCCTCCCTGGCCTCCCTGTGTTCCTAGACCTGTGACCATGGTGCTCAGGCACCTAAGATAAAGGCTGCTGACTCCTGGGCACTGGGGCTACCCAGGGGTGCAGTCTCTCCCAGGAAACAGTTGGAGAGATGGGACCTACTGCTTCTCAGCTGAACTCAGCTGGGCCTTGCTTCCCTGTTGGCCAGAGCAAGAATCTGGCCTGGAGAGGCCCACACTTTCTTAGAGCCAGGCCAGCTCAGCACAAGTGTGAGGTGAGGTGCTCCAGGCTTCCCAGGTGGCCCCTTCCCTAGAAGGAGCGGGGAGGCTGCCAGTACCCTGTGGTACCAGCCTCCACATCAGTCAGACCCCGCCTTTGACCAAGGTCTTCAGCTGGAGTCCTACGGCCTGGTCTTGCTTCAAAACCAAGAAAGGACAAAGGCAATCCCAAAATTCTGAATTCTGAATTCTGAGCCAGCCCAACCTCAGGCTAGCTGTTGAGACATGTTACAATGTACATTTTTGTAAAAATAAAGTTTGACTGTTCACCGATCTGGTTCCTTACTGGTTAGCAAGACCACAGGGAGAAGGAATAGAAGGATAGACTCAAACTTGGGGCTGGGAACTCTACTGAAGGGTGAGACCAGCCTCATGGCTCAGTGTCCAAAAGAACAAAGGTTTCTTTTCTCCAGGAAGACCTTTCATTACCCCTCTACCCCTTTGGCCCTGGTGGTGGGGTGGGTGTCACTTGTGGGTTATGGTGGGGGTCCTGGAAAGGCTCCTGGCTGTTGGCCTGCAGTGACCTCCTTCACCCCACTCCAGTGCTCTGCAAGCCTTATGCTGACTTTATGCCCACAGTGTCTTAATATCCTGGGCTGCAAACAGGTTGGGGCCCTGCCCTGCTGGGGTCAGGCTTCTCTGATCCTCCTCTCCATCTAAGACCCATACCTTTAATGTGGAAGGTTCTACATTGAAGGTCCAGAGGCTAGCAAAGAAGGAAACGTCATCACCAGCCCCCTTCCTGGGGGCAGAAGCACCAGCGGAGGACGAGGGGGCAGTACACACACAGTGACTCAGAATTACTTTACTCAGGAGGGAAGACCACGACCTGGGGGCCAGGAATGCCCTGAGGCCCAGTTCTTATAAAAGCTAGACAGATCCTGGGAGAAGAGAGGCTGCCCCTGTGCCAGAAAAGCCCAAGCCCGAAGCCTCACAGGCCTGCAGGAAAAGCCTCACCCACCCTTAGTGTCAGAAGTCAGGCTCAGGCGTCAGCTACTGAGTCTTGCAGTCGCCATCACTGCTGTGGGCTGTCTTCACCTTCTTCAGCTCCTTCTGCAGCTCTGACTCAGCCACCAGGACCTCCTTTGGCTTCTGGTACTGAGGGTGGAGCAAGGAGAAGACACGAGTCAATCATATAAACAGCCTCCACCCAAGAGACTCAGGGCCCCCTTTCTGGCCACACCACAAGGCATGTGGGTTCTTAGTTCCCCAACCAGGGATTGAATCCCTGCCCCCCGCATTGGAAGGCAAATTCTTAACCACTGGCCCACCAGGGAAGTCCTCCTTCTGTTCCCCTTTATTCAAAGACGAGGAAATTGAGGCCTACAAGGTTGAGTGATTTGCTTAAGGTCACGTGGGGGTAGAGGTAGGCTTTTGGACCTTCTAGAGCCTCAGTTCTGTGGATCTCACCCCTCCCCATCACCCTCTACCCAGTTCCAGCTGTGATTTTAAAATCAGTCTCCTGAGCCCTCGCCTGCTCATCCCATTCTGTTGGAGAGGTCTGTTCCCTAGCAAGCATACCCCAGGAGTTGTTGGGACTGAAACTGAGTAAGATGAGAAGTGGGCAGGGAAAGAAGGAGCCTTTCCCTGACACAGTGGCCAAGAAGTCTGAACGAATCTTACAGAGATAATGAGAGTGGAGTTGGCGTGAGCAAAGCTCAGCGAGGATTCATCCAGAGGTAGCTGGTATCTTTCTAGGTCAGGAATGGAGAACTTCTTGTAGTACCTGTGGGGACACCAAGAGACCGTGAGAACACCCAACATGGGGACCCCCATAGATGGGCATCAGGCCCTCTAATGCCAAGCTTCTATACAGTCCCCCTCACCCCACAGCCAAAGAGGAAGAAGGGAAGCCAGTTAGAAGGCCAGTATTTTAGAGCTTAGTGACCCTGGAAAGAAGAGAATGAAAGGCCTTCTGGTCAGTCATAATTCCTTGATTAGACCAGGGGTTAGAGTGACTCATATTTCAAGTTCAACAATCCCAAAGACACGTGGAAGCCGCCTCCTGGGAAACACAACTGGATCAGGCAAGCCCTACCTCCTCAGCACCCCAAGAAAACAGCATATGTCTACAAACAAGGAACAGAATAAGGACATCTAGGGCTGTCCTCCAGAGCTGGGGACTGACAGTTGGCACTTACATGGCACTTTACCGAGGCCCTCTCCCTCTTTTAGCGTTAGCCTGACTCTACTTCCAGGCCAGAGAGGGAAGTTAATCCACAAGGAGAAATCTCCCTAAGAGAACAAGCCATGTGACTCATCACAGAAGCCAGATCTCTGGGGCTCTGGCCTACTTTGCTAACCGTAAGACCCCACTACATTTTCACATGTCACACTTGGTCCCCCTCATCTGCAGGTGCCAGTCCAGAGATCAATGATCCCTTTCAGTTCAGTCACTCAGTCATGTCCAACTCTTTGCAACCCCATGAACCGCAGCACGCCAGGCCTCCCTGTCCATCACCAACTGCCAGAGTCCACCCAAACCCATGTCCATTGAGTCAGTGATGCCATCCAACCATCTCATCCTCTGTCCTCCCCTTCTCCTTCTGCCTTCACTCTTTCCCAGCATCAGGGTCTTTTCCAATGAGTCAGCTCTTCACATCAGGTGGCCAAAGTATTGGAGTCTCAGCTTCAGCATCAGTCCTTCCAATGAATATTCAGGACTGATCTCCTTTAGGATGGACTGGTTGGATCTCCTTGCAGTCCAAGGGACTCTCAAGAGTCTTCTCCAACACCACAGTTCAAAAGCATCAATTCTTC